TCCCCTCTCTTGCCATGATGTTCCTAGCATCTATCGCAGACGGAAATGGCAAGAAGTCGATAGTGGCAGCTCTAACTCTTATGATTTATATAATGTACTGACCCATATTCACCATTTGTGGGTGCCAAAAAGAGGCATCATACCTGCCCACAGCGCGAGCAGCAAAGCTCGCCTGCCCTCCTCACCCTAGCCCAGGGGTCGAAAACCTGCGGCTTCTGAGCCGCATGCGGCTCTTTAAGGACTCCATCGTGACATTATTTATTGGGGATGACCGTCTCGTGTTCACTTGCATTACAGCTCTTGAAGAAATGAGTTTTGTTAGCGAATTCAAAACAAACAAAAAACATTGTCTCTTCTCCCGGTCGGCGGCACCCTGCCCGCCGACCGGGAAGCACAATGAGCACGCCTGCTGATCTGCTCAGCAAAGTTGGCACTGCTCGTGGGCGTTGGCGAACGGAGAGGAAGTTCGCTGGTGCCTGAACAAAAAGGAAGTCGCCCCCTTTATTGGGCGTGGGTTGTGGCCCGAGCCGCAATTCCGCAGCTCTCGTTCGGCGTATGGAGAATAAAAAAAAAGTGAGAGAGAGAGAGAGAGGGAGAAATGCATATGAGGTTACGTAGCCTAATGTAAGGGTCCTTGATAGATTTTTGAAAAGGCTTGTTGAGTATCGTGCTCCCTGTGTGACTTCAAGTAAATATGGTGTTAAAGAATGCACGAGTGCCACCATAATACGAGGCGAGGGACACTTATACCAGTGTCCACGCGGGGTGTTTTCGTGTCGATGGGGGGTAACTGCGATACATGTGGCAATGATGGGCTGAAACAGTTTGCCAATTATCCGAGTAAATGGCCATTCCGGTTTTCGTCGATATACTTTCAGCGTTTTCTTAGGCGCAGCGCTTGTGAAGTGTAGCCACGAGTTTCCCGTTGTTGTACAAAAATACGCGGTGAAAGGAAAATGATATCCCCCCCCCCCCCCAGACCGTGTAGCCCCAGGCTATATGGAACGCTCTTTGACGAGATATCAGGATCTCTGAGTCTGTGGACATGTTTTTCAAAAATGTGTCTTAAAACCTATGTATACGCTTCCGCTTATTCAACTTTTATTTCATTTCGTAAATTGATTTTAAAATGAATTTATAATGTAATTAATTTAATGCCGAGATGCGTCTTGTGCAGCGCGTTGAAATATTTGATAGAAATCTGCGTTATGAATGGAAATCTTATTATTATTTAAATACACATTTAATTAGTTTTTCACGACTACGTAAACTATTTTTATTCTTGATTTGTGAATAGGTACCCCCTACTCGGATTAAGCAAATAGCAGGCAGTGACTCCCTCACGCTCTCTATCATTATATAATTATGGTTAACATGCGCAATCTCACGCTTTAATTTGTCTGGGTTGAAGGATAAAAAAATTTTGCGCGCGCGTTTCATCAGTTAAATTGGCGGCAGGCGTCAGCCCCAGGTGGGGCAAATTACACAACGCGCTGGGGGGTGGTGGGGGGTGTTTGTGCCGCGACCCACCACATCTTGTTGTCAAAACCGTTTCGACAGGAGCGAAAGGCATCATTTGCACGAGTCACGTAAAACATAATAACGCTGCATTTTCATTCGTGGTGCGCGAGTTCTTTATTTTTTGCACACGGAGCGCTGTCTACAGACAGGACACTGACCGAATAAATAAATAATACTGATATATGACGATAATAATGATGGTAGTGGTGATAGTAGCGGAGTGATGGGATTGACGATGATTAGAATCTGTATTTATCCTGGAAAATCCGATGACCGATGAAGCTTTTTTTCACATATGTCCAGTATGATAATGATCAACTCTGGCCAAAATTTTGAGCTATGTAGCTGAAAACCAGCTAAATATTTTGTTTAATCATAATCAGCAATGGTTTATCCACTGCCAGATGAAGGCTTACCAATCCATAAGCATCTCTCACGTTCAACAGAAAAATATCACTCTTGCACACGAGATTATTCGTAAAAACTATTAAAACGAACTTTTTTTATTTTACCATTTGAGGACCACTGATCTATATAGCTCTTTTACAGAAGCAACCTGGACACAAATGATAGCTCAATGAAGTGGCTTAGTATGTGAAAAAGTGTAGCAGCACAAATACTCCAAAAGCATGTGTCTGAATGTACAGGGGAAACCCCGAAGGATCCAGAGAAAAATCCACACGACCACGTGGAGAGAGACATGCAAACTCCAAATATACAGCAGGCGTCAGGTCGGGGTCGAACCCACGGACCTCCTTCATACCAGGCGAGGCAGTCAACATCTCGCCACCGTGGCACCCATCATGGCGTTGGTGGTGTGGCAATACAAATTGGCGCCTCGGTGGATTTCCCATGTGGACTTTGTGTGCCGGTCCATGTGCAATTTCGAAAGGCGATTAAAAAGTGATGCAGAGAGACTGGCAGGTCTGCACATGAAGTGCTTCACTGCGTCCCTCTTTATAGAGGCTTAATTTTAGGATTAACCATGCCGGAGAGAGACATCCTGCGCCCACCTGAGTGCTGGCAGCGGCAAAGTGACATGCTAAAGGTGGTGATCATGATGATGGTTGCGATGGAGATAATGCCAATAACAAGGCGGAACCATTGCCTTTAATTGTTCTTTGTTTGAAATGCAATTTTGTCATTTGTTCCAGGTGTTATAACCCACTCCAGGTCGCCCTCCACTCATTCTACGCTTCAAGCCCTGGACGGTTTGTTTTTTTCTTCCCTTAAGCACTATCACCTTCATTGTATTGTGATTCCGTGTCAAAAACTTGCGTATTAGTGTATTTGTGGTTTGCTTTTGAGTTTCTGATGTATGGTGAAAACTACGTAATTTAACAGAGCAAGTGCACGTCATAACTTTTGTACAGAAAATCACTGGGAATCGAATACTAAACAGGAGAAATAACTGCTTATTTGAAACAAAATGTATTCCTATGAATGAAGTACTTTTTGATCTTTACCAGTTGAAATGATTTTGGCTTCATGGCCACTACTGGCCTGGCGTGCTCATTATGATGACAATTTGCATTTTGTCTTTATAGTCGCAACCTCATCATAACTGTGATTAATTGGAATCCATCGCTTGTAACCTTTTTCTAATTAATTATGTATCCATTTCTCGCAAAATGTATTCGTGCATTTCCATCCTGCATGCGAGGTTATACTTTTTGGAAGGACGTATTTTTTTTTCCATTACCCGTTTTCCAAACACATTCAAGTAAATAGCACTTATTCGAATCGAACAATAGGACATATGCCAAATGCTATTTTTACTCAAGTGTTTTCTCCGAGTATGCATGTGTATTTTGGCATGAAGATTTATAAATTTTGTTTAAATGTATTTAGAATCTGACACTAACTGTTGCATTGCTTTCTTCTTCACAAATTTGTTTCCACCGAGAAAAAATTATCGCCAAAGAATAAAGATCTGTCTAATGACATGCATTCCATACTCTTTTGTTCTTTCGGTAAAGTCACGTAGTTAGTAATAAAATCAAATAAAACAAATCACGATGTTTCGATCGCAACACAAGCGGTCGTCCTTTGCCTGATGACAACCGCTTGTGTTGCGATCGAAACATCGTGATTTGTTTTATTTTATTTCTAACTACGTGACTTTACCGAAATAACCAAAGAGTATGGATTCCTGCAGTCACGAAAGCTTAAAAAAAAAACATGCATTCCGTTGATAATTGGTTCTTTACCCTTCTATCTGGCAACAAAACTGACACCTTTTTTTTTGTTGCCAGATAGAAGGTTAAAGAACCAATTATCATATTTTTACTGGCAAATGAGGTCCCCATAATGCATTCCGTTATTCCAATCTTAATATTTTCAAGACCCTACTTACAATTTAACACGATCCGCCTCTTTTCATAAAGTATTTTAGCAAGTTATTCGGATGTTTGCACCCCTAAGAGTCGCCAAATATTACAGCACGTGAACTGTTCAACGGGTTTACGTAATAGGTCCCAACAACGCGACCGAGTTTTGTGTGTTACGTCTGCCATCATGATTTGAACGATACAGACAACGTTGCTTGAAAATATAACAGAAATCCATGCTTCCATAAATATAGTATATCCTGTGAAATATCATTATCTTCACTATCCATGATCAATCCACTGCTGGATGAGGGTCCCCATCTCTCAAAAGCTCGCTACGCTCAAGTAGAATCCACCCATCAACTACAGTACGCTTGTGCTGATTCAAGTAAAATATGATATAACATATATGTTTCAAATATTAAGAGCGTATTAGAATGGTCATTGTCCGCCATGGTCAATCTACTGCTAGATGAAGGCCTGCGCAAGCGGTCACACCCAATTATAACATTAAATATATAAACTATATACGTCTTAACGTCTGAAATGTTACTTTACAGCAACACTTTGATAGAGTACAGCTAGTTCTTGCGCGTATCAGTTGTACAAATGATAAATATTATGCTCATGGGCTCATTTGTCTACGGCAGTAATTGTTGAGAAACTACTGTACGGATACATGAAAATTCCTTCCAAAGTCGAGCCATGGTCGAGCTCACTGTAATTCACTTGGGCTGCACATCACGTGTGGCATATTCAACATTTCTGGCTCCAAGTAGTCTGCAAAATAGAATCCCCCCCGCACGTCCCTTTGTGCATTGTCTTTGCTACAGATCTCTCGTTCTCCTTTCGTGCTCATTCTCCCATGTGCTCTACGCTCTAGCACTTTGCCATTTATTTTGCTCACAAAAAAAAAACCTCGTGTTTCATCCGATCCTATGGCAGCAGTCATAACAACCCGCTCGCACTGCAGCCCCCACCGTTTCCGCAACTGGGCGTGCGACTTTGACATCATTGAGCTTGCCTTTAAGGGATTCAGTGTCAGGGGCTATAAGTTTTGGCGGCGGTGGGGTGGATGGTAAAAAAAAAAACGCCCCTCCTACTCCTTCCAATGCGTGACTGCCCATCCCCTCTTTCCAAACCGGTGCGAGCAAAGTTAGTGGCACTGGGCAGCCGGCAGTCAGATTCAAGGGCGAGACTGCCGAGTCCTCGGGCTCGCTTTACCGATCCTGCTCAAATGCGTGCCCGCGAAACTCCTGTGCGGGAGGGTACTTGGGGCGCAAAGGTACGTGAGCGCAGGTGGTGCCGACTTTTATGATTTTCTGTTTGTTTCGCGACGTGTGTCCTCGACAGCAGCGCCGTTGCTGGAGATATGAGTTCGTTTTTATGGTGTAAGACTAAAGCTTGTTTTGGTCTTCAGTTTTATCCGCTTGATACGAGTAGGTTTTTGCGGTTGCGCTGTACAGTTCGGCGACGTGTGTTTTTTTTAAGGGTTGTACCGTGTGCTGTTCTGCGTAATGTCCGAGGTTTCACGCCAAAAATGTGTTGCAAATTGTCGAACATCGTGCCGGACACATCCGAGAGCCATTAGTGGCAATTTTGTTTGACTTTTAATCGAAAAACCGTAATTTATCTTTCTTGACTAGTCTTTTGAGTTACATAGGTGTGGCTGGAATTTGTATGTATATGCCTGTCCGGATGTGATTTAAAAAAGCATTTAACTTGACTTTCAAATACACGTTACTTATGCTTTGTTACGTCTTCTATTGACAACATGTTGTTGTCACATGTAATGTCAGTAATTGAATAACAAAACATATACATCAGGCTGAGTTTGGAAATGGTGGGGAAGCCGCAAGGAAAGATATAGGTCCATTGGCACACAACGGTGCAGTGTTCCCAAAACTGCTAAGCACTCGTGAAGTCACTTCAGAGGCATTCACCGTAATCTATGTCGAACAAAATAACTCCTGATAAAAACGGGCCCTGCCAGGGTGTGTGTGTGCATTTCACAGCAGGAATTTACAGGTATTTACCCGACCTTTCAGTTGAATGAGAAGAGCCAAAAGTGGAAAAGTTTAGTTTCTGAATATTCTCAGGAAATAACTTTCATTCTTTTGGGTTGGCCATTTTTTTATCTTACAGTAATTTTATTTATTTTCCGCTCTCTCGCTCTCTCTCTTGAGCCACCCTCCCCTGCTTCCTACAAGTTGGGTGGCTTTGCGAGTCAGTGTTTAAGAGGGCTACAGTGTTTTCTCAGTGAATGCACCTCTTTTAAACATTTCTGTGCTACACCAAAAGTGGCTTTTGATCCACATCTCTTGAGCATTAAGTCTTGGCATGGGCATTCCTAAAAATCTTACCTTTCCAATCTTCAAACAAAAACATATAATCGTTAAACTCTCTTCACATGTTTTTTTCCATCTGCAACACTTTATTGATAAATTTAAAAAAAACTGCCTGTTTATGTTTGTAATAATCTTACTTACTCACTCACGCCACTGCTGGCATAAGGGCTTCTACTAGGAGGAGCTGTAGAGAACCACTCTGGAGGATGTTTGGCCTACTCCACCATGTTGGCCAGACTTCTTGGAAGAGGTGGGAGTGCCCACACTTTGCTCCACCGCATATACATGTATGTATGTCTGTGAACTTCTTTTCGCACAGTACATAGCCAACTATTGCTAATATGACCTGTCAAATGTGGTGTAGCCATTTATGCTGCTGCATGGACAAAGATAGTCGGGGGATTGAAGAAAATGTCCCCATTGTGATCAATGCTGCGCCAGGAGATCTAAACAAATCGAGTGGGCGACCTCTGGATTGCAAGTGCGATGTGTGCTCAACGTTACTCTGATGTGGGAGCATCCTGTATTTATAGTGGTGGGAAGATGTTAATCTAAAGTGGCATTGAAGTTTGCCTAGTGTCCCTTTTGATGCACATAACTATTAATTTAATAGACACTGAAGCAGATTAAAAGTCCTGGCCAGCCTTTAAAAGTTGCCCAGTTCGAAAAGTTGTATAAAGTAGGCTTTTTTTTGCATACAGGGTGGCCCAAAATAGAGGACACATCGGGTTATGCTATTTATTATAACACAAACACGAACAAATATGAATTGTTTAGTCTTTAAGTTAATCATTTATATATTATCATTATATCTATTTGTCTTATTCCTGTGGGGTTACCTCAAATTTGTCATTGACAGAACTCGACCAAGAACCAAAAATTAGTTGACACAACATAATTGATAAACGTTCAGATTCCACCTGTAATCTTAAACAAATATTATTAAATGCACGTTTAAAGATAATTCAAGCTTACATTGATGTTAATGGCAGTAATTTTGAACATTTGTCAAAATAAATTAAATAACTCTTTGTGATTTGTTAAAAAAAATATAATACCTTGTGTTCTGACTTTTGAGCCACCCTATATGCGTGCGTGGCCTCACGCTTTAAGAGACATAACACTTTGTGACTATCCAGTCATGCTCACAATGATTAAATAAAATTTTAAATCAGAATATATGAACACAGGCCATCCAATTAATAATTTAGTGCATGATTAAAACCAAATATAATCCAAGGTGTGCTCATCATTGAAATATATATTCGCATGAAACGCTGACGTACAAATGCATTACGCGATTTGCAAAAATACACAAAGCACCGGTTAAAGGTGGTAAGCGTTCAATGTCGAGAATTCCAAAAACAATTCACAGTAATTATTTTGTGCAAAATTGGTTGCTTAACGCCTGAATACTCTTTATTACGTATCCTCGTAAATATATATATTTTTTATTCCACGTAAAAAAGAGAATTCACTCGGGTCGCAGGAGCTTCACGTGAAACATTTTCGCGTGTGTTTTTTACGGCGTTCTGCACTGGGTTGCCTTTGTGCCCGTGGTTCTGGAGCAGTGATTTTATGAGGGTGTTTTTCATTCCTGGTCGAGATTCCCCGTTATTTTGGACCATTCACACCCCCCTCCCCATTCCCTCCCTCCTTCCATTTTTTCCCCTTGTAAAACAGCTATAAAGAGAACTGGCTGGCTTGTGGGAGGAAAGATTCAGGCGACCCGTGTTTCACTGTAAACACCAGGCCTCAGTGGATCGTCTGTTCAAAATGACCCATCTGGTCCCAAACCCACACGGACAAAGATCCCTCTTTCAGCATTACAAACCTCGCGTTGGGTATGAGGATCTGTCGACGACCACCCATTATTAAGTCTTACAGAGCTGCACCGCACACGCCCATCAGTCTTTATCTCCCCAATGCTGCTGTTGGTCGCACTTAACTCGGGGGGAGGCCCAAGCCACGTGCGGATAACGAACTGTCAGTTCATCTTCTTGGTTCTTTCGGTAAAGTCACGTAGAAGGGAAGTAATAAAATAATAAAAATAAAACATATTTTATTTTATTATATTATTTTATTATGTTTTATTTTTATTATTTTATAACTTCCCTTCTACGTGACTTTACCGAAAGAACCAATAATATGAATCCCTGCAGTCACGAAAGCTTTAAATCGAAATTGAACTGTCAGTTTTGTCCGCATTCTGGAATAGGGGTCAGGTCTCTGGGATGAGTGGAATATGATCATAATAACTACAACACTGCTGTCCACACGCATCATAGCAATCACATCATTACTTCTCATAAAAATGTTTGAAGGCATTTTTTCCGTATTACTTGAGAGCAGTCTTCATTGCCTCAAAAATAAATATCAATTTTTTTCACTTCATCATGCTCTGTTCAATCTATAAGTAATGCAGCAGCACTTGTGAGTATAATTTTAACTTAGTACAAATGTTATTGTAATTCTAGTGTCGTATTCTTTCCTTATTTACTGTATTAATGTACATACAAGAATTGCAATATATTTCATCGTAATATAGCTTATTAACTGAAGCAGATATTTATTTAATAAGAAAAATATATGTATACCGGACATTTTAAACCACTGTAGGGTGATGTTTTTCAGGATAAACAACATGAAGGCCAGCTTTACAACAACACACATTTGACTTTCATATTTAAGAATTTACTATTAATTTCGCTTCCTTCCTATGCTCAAAGTACGTGTAAACACACAGCCGCTGTGTGTATAAATATACATATAGCACACACTGTCAATTATCGGTGTACACTAATGCACAGGGACCACTATTGCGCAGCAAATACTATTAATACTTAAATTTTAATCCAATACTTTACAGCTGTTATTTTTCTACAGTCTTAAGCCACGCCCCCCCCCCAGACTAGTTAGCCTCAACTCATCCCGTCCTGGAATAATGGTGTAGGTGTAACTGGCGCATAATTATTGCTGCCCCCCATCTTTCTCATCGCAGCAGCTGAAGGACATTATTGTTTACCTTGCCAATCGTGAGATGTATTCCTCTGCTCTTGGGAACGTCCGAACAGGAGGAGCAAAACAGGGAGGGTTCGGTGAGCAGTGCCGTCTCATCATCCCAGTTTAAAGATGGTGCTGGGATATCCGGTCGTGTTAATAATTTACTATTCTCCCGATTGTCCACCCATGAGTTGAATAGAATGACGGAAACAGTCAGGGGTAAAAAAAAAAAGTCTCTCATCTATTCCCGCATGTGCCGGAGGTGATCGGCAGGGATTGGACCGTTCATTGGCATCATCAGCCGTGTCGCGCTGGGCGTGGCTTGTAGGGGGGTTTCCTGCCTTCAGGATATTGGGGTGGCTGTAACTTTTTAAGGGACACTCAGTAATCGACGACAAAAAGTAGCAGATGAATTAACGTAATCGACTAAACGGTCTCAGCTCTACTCTAAGGTCTGCCTCAGTTTTAGTTTATCTCACAGGGTGAAACGTATACATTTAGCCAGATCATACACATATCCTTCACACGATATCTACAAATGTGAGGTTCATATCAAATGGAAGCTCCTGAACTCTGGTGAAGACGCAACATTTTTTATCGTTAGCACGTCATGAGAAACAATCTCAGTTTTAGGAATCTCATGTTAGACATGAGAATCTCGTGATTTTATAATACAGTACGAGCATGGGACAGGGGAAAGCGCATATAGCATGCTGCATGCGGATAATAATTAGTTGAAAGTTAAGAATACAAATACTTTCGCAACCAATGTATTTAAAAACGTTGGGTCGCAACAATTTATATTTATGAATCGTACAATTCAGTGTAAACCCCGAAGGCTCCAACAGCCAAACTATAGCAACTGAGTGAAGGGCCTACGAATAGTGGGAGGCAGGTCCCAAACCGTCCTGCACAAGCACTTGCAGTAGATGCA